GGAAATCAGCACAATGGAATCTATTTTACAAAAATAAACGGCTGAATGTGAAACAATGCAAGATCCGGAATTCGCATGTGAAATGATAAAAGGATTCCAGTAAGAAAATGGGACGATGACAGCAGATTAGCGTTTTTGTTTATATTTTGCTACGCGTTGCGCAACCCGATTATGTGTGGATAGTAGTCATATTGTTTATTTAATCTAGATAATAACTAAAAGTATGCCTAATTAATTAAATAAAGTGAGTTACTGGAAATAAATATGTGTATTTTCTGAAAGGCACAGTACAGTAATTGGGGTAAGTGAAATATTTTATTCATTCCTTTTCTAGGGTCAACTCGCGTAATTCACGAAATATTAGTTTAAGCCAGCAAATATTGGGCACATGCAACTTTACTTGGACACTTGAACGTGTCTAGATTAGTATTAGTTTACCTCAACTCCACACATTTTCATAGTTATGAATTTCAACTATTTTAAAAAATTTCAGTATATTCTAAAATTTCACTTTACATTTGACTTCTTTCTAAAATTTAATAGCCTAATGCTTTATAGTTAAATTCATTTTAAACACGTTTTCTAGGATATGATGTTCTTTTATCTTCCGATTTTAAGTTTTAACTTATAAGGCGTAAGAACTATTAATATTTATTGAAAGAGAAAGAAGCTTGTACTGTTTGGTGAACGCAAAACTGAAAAAAATGTTATTTGTGTTTTAAGTCTAAATATGCATTTTCAGATTAGTTGAAAAATTTGAAATCGAATTTTCCTAAACAAGCTTTGCTCCGAAGAAGTAATGAATTTAAATTCAAATAGAATCCAATCTAATACCTAATTTCAAAATTGATGACCACCAGTTTTTGCATCCCCTTCTGCAGTGTAAATTCTTGAAAATTATCGTAAGAGTTACTGTGACCGTTTCTTTAATTCTTGAATGAAACTGCTCTGTCTCTTTGAGGCAAAGCGGTGGTATTAATATATATAACATTGTTGTTGTTTGACATTTGCGTTTACGATATGTTTCTGAACTTTGATTTGTAATGCGAGTAAAGACAATTCAGTTGATTTTAAAACTTTTGATCAGTTTGTAGAAGATAAAGCTACTATAGAAGGCATTTGCCAGGAGGCTGGACAACGCCATCCCTACATACATACATACTACAGTGGACATTTTCAAATGACGTTGACAAACACGGAATTGAAGACATGCTCAGTCATGCAGAAGTTTTAACACAGCACCCCCGAATAGTAGTAGTAAAGGTTTCCTAGTTACTGATTGCTGTGCATTTTCCTATTTTAAAGTTGAAGGTCTTTCAACTATGTTTTTGAGCACTGAAATAAATTTAGGAACTTATTAAAAGTGGTTATTATTTTAAGTAGCTGGCTGCTGTATATCGCCTATTGTCTTAAAAGTAGTCAAGCTTTTATAAACTGTGGGATGAATATTGCACCCATAAAGATGAGTGAATCAAATATTGCATCTTAAGACCATCTTTATCCAACAATAAAATTATGCTGACCTCGGTCACGTCTGTTTGAAATTCCATCTACGCAATAAAGCCTTCGCAGTTCAATGGAAAGAACCATCACCAAAGCATTGCAGCTATTTCCAAATTATTTCGGAAAGGATATTTTATCACATTCCCAAACGGATATTGTATCACTTTCCCAAACGGATATTGTATCACTTTCCCAAACGGGTATTTTATCTAATATCCGTTTATTAAATTCAAGAACAGGTTCCCATTCAGGTTCAGAAAGAAAGTCGGAAATAATAAAAGAGTTTTTTGTCTTATATTTGAAATGAAATCACTTCCATTACAGTGATGATTTCAGAGAATTATAGCGAACTCACATATTTTCGTATTTAGAATAGAGGGCTAAAATGCGATGCACCGTACCTACCACTTCTCGAGTTAAAAATCTTACTCGGTTCAGAATAAATATTTCCTAATTTTGTGAAGCCATTATCAACGAAGAAATGGTAAGATATTTTTTGATTGTAAAAAACTATATTTCTTATCACGGTTTTCAAAGAAACGATTTTGATATTTATGATTAAATATTTCAGATTTCCTATACCTTTAAAGAGAAACACTCAGCAGAATTAAAATTTCAGTTACACTATCACAAAGAGAGTCAGACTGTGATCATTTTGCAAAGGTGCTAAGCCAGACAATTACTACTTAAGTATAAATTACTCCCTAAAGTACTAAAAGGAAATAAATTAGTACCTAATTTGGATTATTGCTTATAGGCAAATTTTAAAGCTTTTTAATAACTTAATTATTTTTGAATTTTCAAATGGTTTATTGCCTAAATAAACATCTCACATGAATAAAAGTTTTTGTTTTGGTACGAAATACATCAGTCAAAATCATGAATCCTTCAAGTTCAAAGAAAATGATAATTTTGTGTTTGGAGAATAAAATAAATACCCGCATGGGTATTTTTAATCATTTTTACTCGTATGAGTATTCAACAGTTCAATCACTGCAGTATAAGATTTTTAGATTTTTGCTTAAACCTAAAAATTTTACTAAACCATGGAACGGCTGCTTTTTTTAGCTGGGCAAGTTCAATTTACGCAGGTAAGAGGAAGAGAAAGAAAAGGTTACGGAATGGCTTGCAACGGAAAGAGTGAGTCGCGGAATGGCTTTTAGTGGATACTAGAGATATGCTTGTAGGTTTATTCCTAAACCGTGAAAGGAGTTTCACTGCGTATTTTTATACTGTGTGGTTTATTGAACATTTTGTTTAATGACTGATTAATTTTTATCAATTCTTGAAACAAAAGTAATATTTCGAAGTGAAATACCTTTCTGAAATATAAATTGTACGCATTGTATGCTTATTTAAATTTTCTTAAAGCATAACGTTTCGGCGAAATTACATAATCTTGTTTATTCAAACGAAATCTAATATTTACTAGAACTCTTATTTCGGTAAAGTAACTGAGCATTACATGAAGTTACAATAAGTAACTGTGAAGGTTTTATTTACTTGAGGTATTGTAGAAAATTGTAACTGTAAATTTTTGATAGTTATAATATTTACCGCTAATATCATTACAATAAAACATAATTATTTAGCTTTCTTTTAATCTGGTACACAAAGTAAATAATGTGTTTTAGTATGATATACTCTGATGGAGCTTTAAAAGGTTTATCTTCATAAGAAAAGAGTATTGTATTCACTTATGAAATAATAGTTTAGTTTTAATGCCATTTTGTATAAAGAACAAGTATTATTTTTTTCCAGATCCTATTTAAATTTAAAGCAGAATTTTTAAAATTAGGTAATCAAAATTTAAAAAAGAGCAGACGATTAATAAAAATAAGAATAATAAATATTATATTAGTACTAACGAAACGCTAGATGCACTTAGAAAGCACGAGCTGGAAATGATGTAGCGTCGTCTTTTCCTCTCCTCCTACCTCATCCTTACTTTGAAGTACCCATACCTACAAATCTTGAACTCTTCCAACAAACAAAAGCAGCCGTTCCGGGTTTGAGCACTTTCTAAAAATTTGTTCTCAGGTATTAGTCGAGAATAAAAAATAAAATAAAATAAAATAAAAAAACTTAATTCTTTTCAGTTCACCGATTTCGTTTCCTCAGAGCGCTCGAAGGCAACGTTTGTGTAAAAGAGGCTTTGGAAACAGTATTCGAGTTGAACAGTATCGTGTTTAATTTATGTGCCGATAAAAAATTCACTAAAATGCATTTATAATCAGGTCTATCGGGATGGATTGACATTTATTACGAAATTTTTAAAGCCTTGCCGAAAAGAATTTAACATATTATTTCAATGAAATTCAATGAAAACTAGTACTTAACATTAGTTGAAAATTTTTTTGACACTGTGAGCAACAAGTTAAACAAATGATAGACATTTTATTTTTTAGTTGATAAGGTTTTAACTGGAGTGTTTTGTTTCTACATTTCGGAAAGGAACCGAATATATATCGCATACAAAAAAATTATAAATCCTTTCTATGCCTCCAAACGTAAATAAGAACTTCCATGATTTCCCACATGAGCCATAATATGCGTCGCCACTTTCTTGAAAACGCTTTTTGGAATTTCTTCGATGCAGGATCTTAGGTAATCAATTATTCAAATATATAACAGATTTGAATACTGTTCTATTGCTCGATACATAAAACATACAATACAGATCGTATAACAAGATGATTGTGTGATACGCTCAGAATACTCAAGTAAAAATCTTGGTTAGAGTAGACTCTAGGGTACCCCTTGTATTAATGCGAAGTTGTTGTTTCATTTATCGTCAGGTCAAGAGCGGCCTCCACCACTCGGCCATTGGTGGATTATGGCGTGTGGACACACCAACGGCCGAGTGGTGGTGTAGCGAAGCGGTATCTTAACTTTAAATTAATAAACCTAAGAATACATCACTGCGAGTGGACTGTAAAATTAACCTTTATTCGCGGTTTGAACTTTCGAACACAACACAGCACAAAGTAAAGCGACAGAGTTACAATGAGCGGTTTTAAGAATGCAAGAAACAAAATGCGAGCTACGCATACAATCTGCGCATTGCGAAATAATATCTCACAGACAAGCAGAGAGCTCTGGTGGCCGAAACATTCCGCCCGGCGTTGAAACATCGTTTCAAACTAAACAGCTTTTACAAAATGAAATTGTCATAGCAATATTAAATTATGCAAAAATGTATCATTAAAATATTCACAAGAAAACGTACTATGAAATTATGCAATGAAACTAAATTACTCTCAAAACAGATGTTCTCAAAACAGATTGCACAGAAGCCTTGATACAATTCAGGAACTTAATTATAGTTAAAGCAAAGTACAAAGTTATAATGCTTTAGGAAAAAAAAAAAAACTTAATGCATTGATAGGCAAAACACTAAGTTTGTGAATTGGCCTTTTGAAAACTCCGTTAGCAGTTTTGATCTTCACGATACGCCACAATATTATCTGAGCTAGGAAAAACTTCCAGCACTCTTCCTAATTTCCATCGTAGCGGGGGGGTAAATTGTCTTCCTTTATGATAACTAAATCATTAACCTTTAAATTAGGTTGCACTTTCAACCATTTTGAACGTCGTTGCAAATTAGAAATGTATTCATAGGACCATCTTTTCCAAAAGCTTTGAAACATTTTCTCAACAAGCTTCCAACGTTGCAATATAGGAATTTTTTGATCGTGTAAACTTTCTTCTGGTAAGGCAGTTAGCGGGATACCAATTAAAAAATGGCCTGGCGTAAGTGCAGAAAATTCTGATGGATCTTCAGACAGTGGACACAAAGGTCGCGAATTTAAACAAGCTTCAATTTGAGCTAGCAATGTCGTAAATTCTTCTTGCGTTAGAAGTTGTTCACCTATGGTTCGCTTGAGATGTAACTTTGTAGATTTGACTGCAGCTTCCCATAATCCTCCAAAATGTGGTGCTGCGGGAGGATTAAATATCCACTTAATACCTTCAGTAGAGCAATATTTATTAACCAATTCATTTTCCTTCAAGGAGTTTATTACTCTTTTCAATTCCTTATCTGCAGCAATAAAATTTGTGCCACAATCGCTATGCACTTCTGTTGGATTTCTTCTTCGAGATACAAAGCGCTTTAAAGCGGCAATAAATGATTCTGATGTAAGATTACCTACTAATTCAATATGTATAGCTCTTGTAGTAAAACACACGAATACACAAATGTAGCATTTCATTGGTTTTACTCCTCGACCTTGCCTGGGCTTCACTTGAAATGGCCCGGCGTAGTCAATTCCAACTTTGGAGAAAACCTTTGACGGAACGACTCTAGACGATGGTAAATCAGACATCATCTGGGTAGATGTTTTAGCTCTTACACGATGACATTTCACACATTTCCAAATCTGTTGTCTTACAACTGACCTAGCGTGGATTATCCAATATTCTCTTCTAATTACTGATAGCAATAGCACGGGGGCTGCATGAAGATGGGATTCATGAAAATGATTCACTATAATCTGTGTTATGTGATGTTTCTTGGGCAACAAAATAGGATATTTTCTGTCCTGCGCGATGTTGGATTGTCTTAATCTTCCTCCAACGCGTATAAGTCCATTCTTATCGATAAACGGGTTCAAAGAAAGGATCTTACTATTGAGTTTAACGGTTGATTATTTTTCAGAAGATTATATTCGTTAAAAAACTCATCCATTTGAACTACTCTAACAATTGCATTTCTAGCGTATTGCAATTCTTCGGTTTTAAGGCAACCCTTAATCCTTGTTGCGGTAGATTTAGCTGAATTATTCGCAAACCGAAAACACCATGCGATGATTCTTTTAAGTTTCAAAAATGCTGAAACGTCGTTAAGGACTGGAATTTGCGAAGCGACTGTTCCAATTGAACAAGAAATATTTTTCCGTTGTTCCCTTAAAGACTCTTCTGAAAATGGTAAGTTGATAGAGAACGGAATATTATTTGAATTAAGCCACTGAGGAACTGTCCACCACAAGTCATGAGTAGAAAGCTCTGAAGACAAAATACCTCTTGATGCGCAATCAGCTGGATTCTCCTTTCCTTTTATGTGATTCCAATGCGATGAAGGTAAGACTGATTGAATTTCTGAAACGCGGTTGGCTACGAAGGTTTGCCAGCGTGTTGGTTCTGATTGTATCCAGGACAAAACTATCATTGAATCACTCCATGCGTAAATACTGTCAACATGAATTTGCAATGAATTCTGCACAGCTTGAACCAAATGCACTAATAGAACTGCAGAGCAGAGTTCTAAACGAGGAATAGAGATTACTTTCAGGGGAGCTACGCGAGTTTTTGATGTTAGTAGCTGCACCGAAATTGAAGAATGATTTGAAGACTTTAAATAAATCACTGCGGCGTAAGCTTTCTCTGATGCGTAAGCTTTTCTTTTTATACTGCGGCGTAATTTATCTCTTTTTTCTCTTCTTTCTTTCTGTCAGAAACAATGAAGTTCTACATTTGTAGATTTGGGCAATAATACTCTCCTAGGAATATGAATGCATTCAAGATTTGCGATATATCTTCACAATAGATTTTCCATCTTTGATTGATTTCATCTGGCAAGGGATCATCCCACGAGATTTGTAATTTCCATATGTCTTGAAGCAAGATTTTTGATTTTTGCTGCTGCAACTATAAAAGGTGCTAACCAACCAAGTGGATCAAAGATTTTCGAAATAGAAGATAAAATTATTCTTTTAGTAGAACACTCTCTGTTTTCGAGATTTTGAAAGTGGCAAGTAAACTCGTCTTGCGTTGGATACCTCTCCAAACCCAATAATTTTATTGATTTAGTATCAACTACTGTACATGAAGAATTTGAATTCCGAGCACTCAAAGCAGTTTCCAAAATCGAGCGATCATTTGTACACCATTTATGCAATTGAAAGCCACCTTTTTGTAAAAGTTCACTCAGTTGTGAAATTAACTCTACTGCGTCTTCTACTGTATCTGAACCAAATAGGACATCATCAATATAACAATTGTGTAATATTATTTCAGCTGCCTTTGGGAATTTAGTTCCTTCGTCAATTGTTAGTTGTTTGAGTACGCGAGTAGCCAGGTATGAAGCGGAAGTAGTGCCGTACGTAACTGTGCACAACCTGTAAGTTTTAATCGGCTTCGATGGATCATCTCTCCAAAATATTTTTTGGAATTCGCGATCTTCATCATGAATTTGAACTTGTCGATACATTTTTAATAAATCGCTAGTAATGGCTATGGGATAGCATCTAAACCTCAAAAGAATAGTAAATAAGTCGTCTTGCACCTTGGGACCATTCATTAGCGTGTCATTAAGCGATATCCCTGATGTAATTTTGGCACTAGCATTGAAAACGACGCGTAATTTTGTGGTAAGACTGGATTCTTTTAGCACGTGATGATGAGGTATATAATAATGAAAATTTACTTTATCTGGATTATCATCGGATAATTCTTCCATGTGTCCAAGTGATAAATATTCGGACATGAAGTCTTTATACTGTTGATATACTTCAGGAGTTTTTATTAATTTTTGTTCTGGACTAAGAAAGTTGCGAAAGGCTGATGGTCTGGAATTACCCAACTCATTTCTTTTAGGCTTGAATGGCAGTTTTACTGAGTAACGACCCTTTTCACTACGCACGTGATTTTCCACGAAATGATTTTCACAAAATCTTTCCTCTTTAGTTAAAGGTTTCGATGTGGGAATTTGTTCCAAATCCCAAAATGATTTAACTAATTCCTCCGTGTTTACGTTTAGCGTATTGACTGAAACCTGCTTACGGTTTGGGAATTCAAAATGTGTAGTTCCAGCAATTATCCATCCTAACTTAGAACAACATGCAAATGGAAGATTTTTGCCCCTTTTAATTACCTCGCCATTTATTAAAGTAAGGAATACATTAACTCCAAGTAAAATATCAATTTCTCCCGATTCATGAAATGTAGGATCTGCTAAAGTTAAATCCTGGAAATTTTCATATAAATTTCAAAGGTAATGTTACACTTGGAATGTTTCCTGTAATTTTGTCTATTATGTAAGCGGATGTTGAAATTCTGTAATTAGTATTAAAATGAGGTGTAAACAACAAGTCAACTTCTCCAGTAGTAGTTGTATTGAAAGTACCTAAGCATGACACTAATATCTTCGAATCCTTTATGCTCAATCCTAAATTGATAGCTGTTTTCCGACGAATGAATGATTTTTCACTACCTGAATCTAGTAAACATCTACAATTTATGAATTCCTGGTTTGAGTTTTGAACCTTAATTAAAGCAGTACACAAAAGTACATGACTACGTTTACCATTAGCATGAGCTCCAAAATGTTTATTTTCATAGTTGTTTGCACAAACAGTTGGAGAAACCTCACTCAAGCTGTTTTCTGGTTTAATTTGCGATTTCGGAACAAACACTTGTGCTTCCGGTGAAGGGAATCTAGATGCATTTTTTGGTTTGAAATTATTTTCTAAATGCAAAATGCTATGATGATGCTTAAAACAATGCTTGCAGGTGTTTGCACTCTTACACATTTTAACTTTATGGACATTAGACAAGCAATTAAAACAAAGTTTATTAGTCTTAACAAACTCTATTCGTTTTTGCACTGGTAAATTTAAAAAATTAGAACACCTGTATAAAAAAATGATCTTCTTTACAAAATAAGCAGGTAGAATTAGTAATCAGAGAAGTAACCCTATTATACACTGGTTTATCTGATTTATGCGTTTTATTAATTAAAGGTTTACTGTTCTGTAATGTTCTAGCGTAATTCTTCAAAAATTCTATCAAGTCATTCAACTTTGGTATTTCGTCTTTTTTTAATTGACGCTCCCACCACAAACTTTGTCGAAACGTCAAGTTTTTGCAAAATAATATACAACAACAAAGTATCACTAAAATTATCTATCCTTTGATCTAATATTTCCAATGAGCGAGTTATTTCGTTTACGTTATCTACTAAACTTAATATCGAGGATGCAGATTCCGTTTGTATTTGTGAAACGTTAAAAATTCTTTTAATAAAAGGCAAATATCTGTTCTCTCTTATTAGAAAATCTCTCTTCTAGTAAATTCCAAGCAATACTGAAATTTTGATCAGCTATGGGAATTGACTGAATAATGCGATAAGTATCATTTTTAAAAGAACTCTTTAAATATTGTAATTTTTGAGCTCCAGAAAGATTTGGATTGTTGCGAACACTAGCGTTAAATAAATCTTTAAATGTTATCCATTCAGTTAAATTTCCGCTAAATGTGGGTAAAGATAATTTTGGTAACTTTAAACTTTCAGAGATTGATTCAGATACGACAGGTTTATCGCCATTTGCATTTACGACCTCGTAAATCTTTAAATTACAAATAATTTTTAAGTGAACCTCCTCAATTTTCTCTAAAATCGACTGTTCTTCCTCAACGAAAGTGTATTTTTTTCATCATCACAATTTGTATAAATTTCTCTAAATAGAGATTTAAAATCTTCCTTAAAGATTTTACATTTTTCTAAGATTAATTCAGCTTCAGCATTATCTAAGTTATCATAATCTATTCTCTCAATGAATTTAGTTAACTGCGTTTTCAAAATTTTCTTTCGTTTTTTTTCTATATCTGACATTTTGAAAATATTCTAAATTCTCGATTTTACTAATACTTTAAACACAAAAATAGTAGCAATAAGGAAATCTCAAATGCAATTAAAATGCGTTAGCTATTTCACTCACCTCGTACACTGTATGCATTCCGTAACTTTTGAGAAATCTAAACCGAAATTGCATTATCAACTCCATTACGGACACGTAGAATTCTTATTCACAAGCGCGGGTTTTTCTCGAAGCTCCGGCGTAGGACGACCAAAATAATGTAGCGAAGCGGTATCTTAACTTTAAATTAATAAACCTAAGAATACATCACTGCGAGTGGACTGTAAAATTAACCTTTATTCGCGGTTTGAACTTTCGAACACAACACAGCACAAAGTAAAGCGACAGAGTTACAATGAGCGGTTTTAAGAATGCAAGAAACAAAATGCGAGCTACGCATACAATCTGCGCATTGCGAAATAATATCTCACAGACAGGCAGAGAGCTCTGGTGGCCGAAACAGGTGGAGACCGCCGAATACTGGTAGTGTGACAAGAGTTTGAGTCCAATCTAAAGGGCTAGTAAAAGGGCTGTGTGATATTAATTTTTGTGTTATATTTTTGCTCCATGTGCAACAAAAAGACGAATGAGATAGTCTCAGAAAATCCCCACGAAGGCATCCTTCCCCGAAAGGCTAGAAACAAAAAAACTAATCAGGGGTAATACGTGCCGACTGTTGCTAATATTTAAGAGAGAAATGTTGCAAAGCCTTTGTAAGTTTTAAGTTGAAAACAAAATGCACCAATAATAGTACAGCTTTTTCTTTGTTTAGTCAATAAAATGTTTCAGAAAGCGAAGTTATCATTTTTTTTTTTTGCCATACAGTACATCACCTTCAGTTTCAAAAATACTGGTATTGAAAGTGATCTTCAGAAGTAGATTTTGTATAATTATTTACGGACGCTTTATTTGCAGTGCTGGTCTTCAGCGTTTGAATCCTGTTGATGATTCTTAGCATTATTAATCATCATTTGAATAATAACCGGTATTTGCTAATTAAACGCAAAAAATCGCCTGCACGTTAAATACAGCAAATCCTGTTAGAAATCTCAATTCATATTTTCAGAAAATAAATAATAATCTATATTGTTATTTGACTGGGTTGAATGATAAATCGATCATTCCGTTTAGCGTTATATAAATTCCAGAATAAAACATAACACGGCTTAACTGGCCTAACATCATTTTCCTTTAAGGTTCCAACTCTCAAATTGCTTATTGTTTGTCAATTGAAAAACCGTGCTGCTTTAAATATAGCATTCTTTTGGAAAATGTCTAGGTTATAGGTTTTTGTTACAATTTCCGTCAACTTTAAAATAATTGAATTGTCATCCCTCATGCTCCAAATCAAAAAACCGAAATATAGCGGAATGCATTTGTATGATAAAAGCAGTCTAAACATCATCTAGCTGGAAAGCAAAAATTTCCAGCCAGACGCGTTATATAAAAACAACCTAATTACAACACAAATAATGAGCTATCCCATACTCCATAACCACCGCTTTGCTTCAAAAGCACAAAACGGTTTCATTAAAAATATGTACTACTATAGGCCTCGGTTTACGTTAACAGAAGTAATTTTCAATTATTTATAACACAAGACGTTATGAAAAAACTGGTGATCAACAATTTCTTGGATTATATTTGATTGTAAAATTCTTTATTTCTTTGAATCAAAACTTTGTCGAAAAATTCAGTTTCACATTCTTCACCCAAAGTAAAACTGCATAACTTGACTTAAAAATATTTTTGCTCAGGTTTCCATTCACCAAATAATATAAGCAGGCTTCTCCTTCGTTATATATTAATAAATAAATTATGTTCCTTACATCTTTTATTTATATGCGGAAGCTTCAATGAATATACTCCACAGTCCGTAGAAGCCAGTGTTTTTTAATTCGGAATTCAAACATCTCATCAGTATTGACATTTTGGTTCCGGAGGAAAACATTCATGTGTTCAAGCAATATAAATTAATATACCTTTGATAACAAAGATAGAAGATTGCTAGGTCTGTAACTTTGAGCGTTCGAATGGCACTGAACAGGTTTGGAATAGGCTTAATTAATTTGCGTTTCTGCCTTTCTGGAACATAGCAATGTACTTATCAAGCAACTAAAATTTTTATGGAAATAATAATTTTCTAATGTGTACATACCCCCGGGGGTCGACGTACAGAACTCTGCGAAGCTACTGGCTAGGATCTGTACCTAGGCAGTCTCGGCCACGGGGGTATAAAATTTATGAACTTGGTGGTTCTGAAGGCTCTGGGAAAGGTCACTTATTGGCCGGCCTCGGAGTCTGGCACGTCGTAGCGCGGCATGGTGCTAGTAGCCCGGGGGTTTACCCCCGGTTTCGCTGGGTAATGTTCCGCTGCGACGGGCTCGCCCAAGCGACTGGTAGGAGCAACTTGACGACCGGTGCTGCCTGGTGTCGTATCCAGGTGGTGCGCCGCTCCCTTGGAGGGTAATAGTGGAGGCTGAACCTCCACGAGGTGCCCAAAGGGAGAGAGGACCTGTTATGTGATTGAGTTACACGAGGCAGGGAAGCCAATATTGTTGTTGTCGTTGTTAATGTGTACATAAATTTAATTAGCAATTATCTTTATTAAGAAGGGAACAACAAATTTAGAGGGAACGTTTTTGATCATACGACTGGAGGAAGAGTGCATTCAACATGCATTTTAGGCTTTAGCAAAATAAGTGCTAACCTCAAAAATAGAAGCTACTAAATACGGTTTCGAGGACTGTTAGAAATAATCTCAGCTGTCTCCGTGTCTGTGTGAGCTACCATTGCATCGATAGCAAAGAACGCAATCATTGCTTTCTGTTTGCATAGTCCGGCAGAGTTAACGCCAAAGACTGCTGTCATTACTCGTTAGAGAAATTTTTATGTTCTGAATATTGTGATTGCAAGAACTGATCACATGATGTCTTGATCTCATTCTGGAAAATAAGACGTTGAATTTTAAAACTTAAATTCCTACCTCCATGACAAATTGCTCGTAGTTTAGATTAATGTACAGGTTAGGTGATTAAATGTAGAATCAATATTCTTGGATATAATTTCATGGGTGGAATACTTTTATCGTTAAGTTAAAACAAAAATTGTCCCAATTATGTGATTCATAACGAGCTTATATTATATTTACAAATTATACTAAAATAACCCCACATACAACTCCTCAAATTGTATCATCAAAAAATTAGATGTTAAAAATTCTAAAGGTTTTGTGAAATTACCAACACAGCTCTCAAAGAGGAACCAAGAAATTTAACAGAACTTATTACTACATCATAAATGCTTACCTGCGTTTGGCTTACTTTCCAGCTCAATGGAAGCATGCTGTGAATGTTACCTTTTTAAACTCTGGATAGGTTTCTAAGCTGCCAGTAGTCAACTTGCTCCTGTGCATTTGGAAAACACTCGAAAAGATTTTTTCTTAAAAGACTGAATTAATTTCTAGTATATCACAATAATATTAATAACGATCCATCCTGCTTCAGGCATGGTCACTGTACAACGTTACAAATTCTCAACGTCGTTGAGGCTACTGCGGAGTCTTTCACTAAAAACAATGTATAACAACTTGCGTTCTTGACATTCTGAAAGCTTTTGACCAAAATCGCATAAAGGAGTAAACTTTCCATCTTCAGATTTCCTCCTATCATGACCAATTTCTTGAATCATATTTGCATTGTCGAAAATTCCAATATCGTGGGGGAGACGCACTATTAAGTATAAAAATTATATATGGAGTTCCTGGAGAGCCTATTCTTTTTAACACACACATCGATGATTTGCCGGAACCTATCACAGCAGCAAGATTGCAATAGATGCCGAAGACAGAGTTGTTATGACTAAATCAGTTAACTGAATTTTGTTTACAGACATTACAAATCATCAAAGTTCCCAATACATCGCATATACAATTAGCAGCCAACACCAGTCTAAACAACATTTAGCTGCAAAAAAAGCATACAATGACCTAATCTTCTTCTAAACCAGCGCTTTGCCTTAAAAAGCGTCGCAGTTTTATTAAAAAAACATCATCATAATTCAATTCACAAATTGCGTCTGTTACAGTTGTTTCCAAATATTTATAGCCCGAAACTGAAGGCAAAAACTGGTGGTGAGAAATTTGAAAATGCTTTATGTTATCTATTGTACTGCGTTCTATTTCATTTTAAACTCCGTTTTTCTTTGCGAATCAAAGCTTCTATTGAAAAATTTGATTTTAGAATTTTCATCCAAGGTGAAAATGCATACATATACATGCATATATACATAATCCAAAGAATAAATCTGCCCACTTTTGCATTCACCAAACCGTGTATGTTTCCATCTCTTTTGTTAAATATTAGTAATCAAAATACATATCCTGCAATATATATATATATATATATATATATTAAAGTTAGAGTAATATTTCAAAAATAATTAAATGGATTTTAAAAATAAAACTTAACAAGCTATTAATTTTTAAAAACCAGGTAAATTTTATATTGAAATAATAAAATGCATTAGAATTTTTTATAAATATTTTTTAACTAAAATGCTAAATAATTGTTTATATTTTAATGCAAATAATTATTTATATTAATTTTAAATTGACTCATCAAGGGGTAATAATTTAAAACATTAACATTTGTACAAATATGTTCTGACCGCGCTTTTCGTTCCACATGACTTTTTGAGCGACAACGAATTCAAAAATATAAATCCTAAAATAAAAATATAATAATAATAATAATAATAATAATATACATGTATATATAGAGAGATAGATATATAGATAAAGATAAGGAAAATTTTCAAATAGATAGATACGCATACGGAAATCCAGGCGATATAGAATAAATGTAAAAGTAGTTACAAGGACAATTACCATTCACATAGATGCAGAAGATTTAAATTTTTAAGATTAAGAGTTCCGATATCCAGGACAGAGAGAGAGAGAGAGACTGAGATAGATAGAGAGATGAATAACTAAACAGATAGATACGCATATGAAAATGCAGGCGATAATCCAGAACATATGTAAAAGTAAGTGCAAATACAACTACCATGCACATGGATGCAGAATAGTTACATTTTAAGATTAAAAGTCCGAATATCCAGTCTTAAGCTAAAAGGCTAATTTCTCAAGCAACCGGACAATTTTAGAAATTTATAACATCTTCCTCCTTTGGAAAACTAAGCAAATGAAAGACTTGCGCGCCTTTGTAAAGGATCTATCCCATGTAAAAGTAGGCGGTCGCACACATTTGGATGAGCTCCTTGTGACATGGCCCTCTTACTGTAATGATAACTTCGTTCCTAAACTAAACAAGATTTTTTTTTAATCTACCAGAACAGGTACATTGTTCGGGAACACGAAATATAACATTCTGTACATACAAAAAAAATTAAATTTAATTCACGCTATTTCACATTATGCATGCTTGATTTTACCTTAATTTCTCTATGAAAGACAGTTCCTGTCATCTGCTCAGTAAAATGTTCGGAAGGAAACGCTTTGGAACGCGAAGGAAACAAAATTACTTTGTAAGCAATTCATTACAAACAAAATATTTTAAACATTAGGTTAACCTTTCAAAGTATGTTTCATGTAACTCATCTTCTAACACGCAATTTAAGCTGAAATTTTCACCCTATATTATTGGCGCTGTCAAGTGTCAATATGTTTAATTTATTATTGTTTTTCAAACAATATTATCAGAACGTTTGAAATAATATCTGTAATGATAATGAAAAAACAAGTAAAAGAAGTTCTCTGGATGCAATAATATATTTGCAGATCTCCCCCCAACCCAGGAAAAAAATCTACGAAATAAGAAAGTTAATCAAAATTAATTTTTAAGTTTAAGAACATTAATACCTTGTTGTATGGGGAAACTACTTATTAAAGAACTGTATCTCTTAATATGTAACTGTATGGATGTGTTTGTAAATATAATCAGATATCGCTCAGTAATCCAGGGCGTTTGAGCCGGGCCAAAGTTAAAAAAATTAGGGAAAAGAATAGTTTGAACGAGACGAAGCCTCTAATTAAAGCGCAATGGATTTTGAAGCAGTAAGAAACGGTTTACTTTAACACTGAAATCTATGGCGTTTGTATCACCTAACTCGTTTTAATTATTAAATGTGATACGTTGTATTGTGATGAGATTATGAAAGACACAGTTTTTTTCCAAATAGAATTGAATATATCTCATTAAAGCACATTTTAGTGCATTTCGCGCACTTGTTTCACGCGTAATTCTTGTATAAACATCTTTACTTTGGTTAAACGGTAAAAACTCTAAGCACAAAATTTATGAACTTCATTTTGCGTACAAATAAGGTAAAATTAAATAAGATTGATAGTACGTGATGCTTTGAAATAAATAAGGTAAAATTAAACATGATCTGATATTTTTTTTAATTTAATGAACATTTTCAAGCAGGCATTGTCAAAACTATAATAACATTACAAAACGATTATTTATTTGATTATATCACCATTAAATTATTAACATTAAAGTGGGTTATTTATTTTAGTAATTTATAATATTCGGAGCATAAAATTTTCAGAGTGTAATGAAGGGGGGAAGATAAAATAAAATCTAGACGCACTCAGATTTTATGTAGCACCCAAAAGGAAGCTTTTTGTCACGTTTTGTGTGCTACCTATATTTATTGAATATCACCTTTTTCGCCCGTAAGCCACATACATTTGAAAACAGCATATCTTTCGGATTTCCGCACTGGAGATAAAACTGTTATTTTCCGTACAATGCTCGCTCTGAACTCGTTGAGTTTGTTAATCAAAAATTCGTTAAAATTTTACATAATATGAAATAGATTAAATCAAATTCGAAATTCGGCCGTCCAGATGCCCATGCTCGGATGGAGGATTACATTATTCAAAATTTGATGGCGTTAGATAGTGTCGTTTTTGTCACAGTGCGAGAAACATACATGTATTCACGCAGATTCTTCATTATTTAATTTCTTTAAATATAATACAGGGCGATAATATTTGGTAACAACAATTTGCAAGGAGACACGGACATTTATAGTAAAACAGCGCAAAATGCCTCTTCGAAACTAACAGCCTTTCTAGGCGACCGCCCCTTTGGACTAATAAATTAAATTAACAGTAAATAAAAAAAATTTATGCAGAACGAAAAATAAATTTTAAAAAAATAATCACTATAAAATACAAGCAAAAGTAATTATCACGGTTAAATACAATTTTAATATTAGAATAAAATGTAAAAAAAAATTTAAGGAGTCAAAAGTGTTTATCACTATGATGTATTATGAAATATAATTGAAATAAAAAAATTATAGAAATTGTGCTATAATATTCATCTATAATTTTAAAAAATCAGCACAATTTATAATTTTTAAACAAAACTTTCAAAAATTCGTTTTTAAATATTTTAGTATTTTTTACTTATTTACACCAATAAAAAGCATAAAAATTGCAAGAGAAAATTGGTTGTATGAAATTTTGTATTAGTTCAAATTTAAAATATTATTTTCTAAAAGAAGTAGTTACAAATTTCCTTACAGCAGAGGAAAATCTAAAAAAAATATCCAGCCCTGAAAGCATGCAATAGCTTTATAAACATTTGGAACATTAATTATGCTTGATATGCTAAATTTTTAAAAATAAATCTCAGTTTCAAAAATAAAAATATGGAGAAATTATAATTTGTGAAATGAGGCGTTACAACCAGCTTTTTCTTGACAATTATACACGCTGCAATAGGCAACCAATGTTAAATTCCGCACGTCGTCCCTACTCCTCGGGATGTGATCAAGGTGACAGCCGGTAACGCCTCAGACGAGGGTGTGTGTGTGTATTTAATTATGGCAAAGCACACGAGGGCTATCTGCCTAAGGGGAGGGATGCCTTTCGTGGAGGACTTTCTAAGGGAAACTGGCTCGTATACACGTTACACATGGGGAAAACCACGAAAACGCCCATGCAGCCAGCCCGTTCGCGGGATTCGAACCTCGGACCGAACTACCAGTGTTCAGCGACTTTACCGCTCGGCCGCTGGTGGGCTCCTCAGACGAGGGAGAAAACCCATTTGGGTTAGTTTATTTCTTATAAGGTCCATGCAGTATGCATAATTACAGTTTAGCGCATTTTGGTGAAATAAATGGAATATCTAAAAATATTTAAAATTCTTATTGATTCTCATTTTTATACCAAATTAAGTATAAACCTGCACGGTTTTTCAACTAAATAATTGCTGATATGATCATTTTAGATGCTTGCGCGATAAGTGGAACTAGTCTTTAAAAAAAATTTCTTTTTAAGCTTTTCTTTTTTTTCTTTCTAACTGTGCTTTACTGTATTTTCTCTTTTAATATATTCAGTTTTCGGATGCATTCTAGTCTGGGACACAAAGTATTCTTCCGAAAGAAACGCAATTCAAATAAATAAGATGAAATCCTGGAAAATTTATATTAATAAATATATTTAAATTGCTCAGTTTGAATGAATAAATAGAAAATTTGAAAATAATTATCTGAAGAGACAATACAACACTAATAATTAAAATAAAAGTCTAAAAATTTAAAAATTACCTAAAATAGTAACTATGACTAAAAATATACTATAAAGAAAACTATTTGAAAAAAAAAATATAAACGATGCACCTTTGATTTAAACTACGCAGTTCAAATGA